TTGGGGTGCAGGAGGGGTGTGGCAGGGAGTTGGGGTGCAGGCAGGAGGCTCGGGATTGGGGTGCAGAAGGGGTGTGGGATGCAGCAGGGGGCTCAGGGCATGGGGTTGGGGTATGGTGTGCAGCAGGGGGCTCAGGGCAGGGGGTTGAGGTGCAAGCAGGGAGCTCAGGATGGGATGCAGGAGGGCTTCGGGCTCTGGGGTGGCAGCGGCATACACCGGGGCCAGGGCAGGCTGCCAGCCCTGCCCCCGTTCCGCTCCGCTCCAGGAAGTAGCTGGAACCATGTCCCTGCGGCCCCTGGGGAAGGGGGACGCAGGGCTCCTCACGCTGCTTGCCGCGCCTCCAGGTTCCTCCCCTGAAGCTCCCATTGGCCGCGGTTCCCTGTTCCCGGCTAATGGGAGCTGCGGAGGGGGCGATGACTGGAAGCCACCCCGGCCGCAGGGACGTGATGCCAGCCGCTTCAGGGAGTGGCGCAGGGCTCAAGGGGGGCAATCATGCGGCTGTAGTTTGCCCACCCCTGGCCTGGAGGTAGACGGGGGGGGGAGGAAGGGGCTGCGGGCCGCAGGAAATAGCCCCGCAGGCCGCATGTTTGAGACCCCTGTGTTAGATCATAAGTACATGTTTAAAGAAACCTAAACAACTAGTATGTGTGAATACTATTTACAATATTACAATTTCAATGAGCTTTTCTGACAGATCATTGGATAGCCCCCACCTGTAGAAAAACCCATGTAATGGGATTGGAGAGGAAAACTCAGGAAAGATTCCCTTAAACGTTTTCTACTATATTGTTTCATTGGGTGCTGGAACTTGTTCCCCCCACAGGGCTTACCCCAATCAATGAATCCCCAAGTACCTGTAGGAGATTGGGGTGTCTGAAGCCCTGAATCTTATAGCAATTCTTTTTTATGACAATTCTCCCCCAGACCCTGGCAGTGTTGTTGCCTTGAAGTTGTACTGCCAGGGAATTCCTCAGCTGTGCTTGCACAAGTCAGTCACCTTGAAGGAGGCAGCCCATTGCATAATGACCTCCATAGAAAAGATAATACAGACAAAATGTAATATATTTTGCTTGTAATCTCTTCTCTGTCTGAGGGAGGGGAGTGGACAATGAGAGTTCCCTCTGGTCATCTTGCTCTAGACCAAGGGTCAGCAACCTTTCAGAATTGGTGTGCCGAGTCTTCATTTCTTCACTCTGATTTAAGGTTTCGCATGCCAGTAATACATTTTAATGTTTTTAGAAGGTCTCTTTCTATAAGTCTATAATATTTAACTAAACTATTGTTGTATGTAAAGTAAATAAGTTTTTTAAAATGTTTCAGTAGCTTCATTTAAAATTAAATTAAAATGCAGAGTCCCCCGGACAGTGGCCAGGACCCGGGCAGTGTGAGTGCCACTGAAAATCAGCTCGCGTGCCGCCTTTGGCACCTGTGCCATAGGTTGCCTACCCCTGCTCTAGACCATCCAGTTCCTTCCCCCTCCCTGCTCAAACCCAGGACCCAGTGCTCATAAAAGTGACCGAGCTGCACTGTTTAAGCAGAGTGGAGAAAATCTTCACACAGTCCACATGCTGAACAAGGTTAATTAAATTCACCCCTTTGGAGGGTGTACTTTATTCTCACAACTCATCACAGTCTCAAACCCAGTCATCCTCTGGGGTTCTGGTTCATTCACGTTACAGTTCTCTCCTCAGGGTTATTCTCCTAGTCACCCGTTTTCAGAGTTCTTGGTTATTCACAGTTCATGCTTCTAAATGCATGGTTACAGGAAACATTCCACTCAAACATCCTCCCCAACTTGGTCTGACTGTAAGTCTAGTATGTTGCAAACCCCAGCTCTTCTGTTCAGACCTTCAGTCTCCAAAGGCTTTTACTTACTTTATATAAAGTGGATTAATGGACACAGTCGAAGCATTGTTTTGGCACTAACTCACTTGACTTTTTATCCAGTGTCAGTCGCTACTAATGGAGGATGTATTAGGTGACGCTGCCAACTAATTTGAGAGCCAAATGAGAAATGTGGTGACTTTTTTTGTTTTTGTTTTGAAACTGTCCCTTGAGAAGAACTACCAAGAAAGGGCAACCAGATTGCAAAGCGGAAACTACATCAATGGTCTTTCAGCTTCCTAAGCAAAAGTTAATCCTGGTGGGAGAAACTGGGAAGTAGGACGAAAGAGAGGAAATTTTTGAGAAAACTACCATTTGGTCTCTCTTGCTGTAAAAGTCTAATATTTATAGTTTATAAAGGCTATTAAAATAGGAGGAAAGACTTTTAGAGTTTATTTCATTGCTATAATAGGTATTAAATATTTTTGGGGTGTTGTCATGTGTGTTTCATATATGTTAGGGCTTGATCTTGTGCCTCTGGAAGTCATTGATAATGCTCCCATTGACTTAAGTGTAGAGGGTCAGACACTGAAACTTATATAAATGGTCCAGCCAGTCAGTATGGATATTCACAATTGACTGGTATGAAACTTGTGTACTGATATTTATGTTTAGTATCTCATACAGTTTTCTGTTATTTTACTAATTTTGCATTAGTGTTTTTTAAATAATCCAGATTCTGCAGTGGGAACTTTGTTGTTGCTGATTCCATTGGTCATTTTATGAATGATCATGTTTGAGTGATTCCACATAATTTAATGTTTGTTCTTTAGATTTACATTAGCGTAACTGAGAGGAGAATTTGCTCCTATAATCAGTTTTATATTTACCATATTATTTTCACACTCTCTCTCTCACACCACAATATGTGCAGTGCTATTTAGTAGAAACCATTTAATTGTAGTAGAAAGATTCAGCCTTTCATACTTCATTTTTCTTTTTGTAGCCTTTCCTTAGCGGGGGCTGCTCTCATTTGCTCTTCTCTCATTTGGGTAGGATCTTCATAGTTCAGAAGGCTGTCTTCATACAGATTGGCTGGCAGTGAGCTCATATATTTATGTAATTTTTTTTTGCCTGGCAGCAGCAGAAGAGCACCATATAATCAGCTCCCTCCGGTGCAGTCGAATGCTGCTGTTGTTGAAGAGCCTTTGTCTTTCTTTGCTGGTCTGGCCACATTATGTTGGTTCTGCAGAAATGTCAAGTCTCTCCATTGTATGAATTATGCTCTTGGGTAGGGCTGACGTCAGGAGGCAGTGGCTGAGCCTGGGTCTGCCTGCTGCTGAGGATATGTGCTGAATTCACCTACAACAGCAGCGGATTAACAGCAAGGGCTTGTCCTGCTGCTGACACATGCAGTTACATTCATTGACTTGCAGGGGCTGAAGGACTGAACAGGAGGTTAGAGAGCATTGAAAACACACCAAAGCCACAGTGACAGGAATCGTTGAGGTTACATCTGTGAAGCTACATATGGAAATGGACAAATAAAAAGCCAAACAAGCTGGTGATTTATAAAACAAACAACATTTACAGCACTCCTTTCCATTTTACTCTCCTTCTGCTATTGGAGTTGAGATCATGTATGTAATTCAGTGTTGACTCCTGGGGTGTTAGTCTGGTGAAAGAAGAGGCTAGAGAAGGATTAATATTCTTGTTTTGATATGAAAGGATATTCTTAGCCCCCTATTCTCCCCTCTCCTCCCCCAATCTTTGCTAATAGTACTTTTTGTTACTGTTTTTAGGTCTGTTCATGTTGTAGCCTTTGGAAATGAGAGAGATGGATTTTCTGAAGACAATCAGCAATCAAGTCTGATCTGGACCTATCTTGGGAGAAGTGCTCTCATTTCAGAGACTGAAAGCAGTTTGCTGCTGAACTCTGCCAACCACATTGGAAGCCCTATGTTTACTGAATATCAAGCCTGTGTGTTTGGAAATGTCAGACTGGTGGTGCATGACTGTCCCCTTTGGGTAAGCGACTAGTCTGAAACTGTTCTGCATTCAACATTGTAGCCTCTCTTAATTCAGTCCACATACAGTTTTTTCAAATGATTTTGATGGTCTTAGCTCTTTAGTGGTATTTTAACCAATCAAAATATGAATTAAAAAAGACTGGAAGTTTACTTCTAATGTTAAAATACAACCACCAAAACAAATATTGACAGTCTCTTGAGGGTCTTTTACTCCTGTTCCTCCATTAGCAGGGTCCCTATCTGTTGCATCTATATGGAGGTAGTATTTTTCAACTTCGTTGTTCAGTGAAAACTGCATGAAAATAATCCAATAGAAAACAAAAATACTGAATGAGCAAGTGTAGAAAATAAACTCCTAAATCAGAAAGCATAAAAAAATTGATACTGTTTAAATTCGGCTTTTGTTAGCTGTTAGTTTTTTCATTATGCAAAAATGGACTGATTTCTCTGTTTTTGTGAGATTGTGAAACAGCACTCCTCTATTTTTGTGATTATTTCAGAGCACTGTTCTTTTTTTTTTTAAATGGTTATTTAAATGTTTGTTCCATCTGGCAACTTCATTAGTTTCAATTTAATAATATTATATGGGGCCTGATACTGCGTTCCTTGGGCACCCAAAATTTCTGTTGGAGTCTGCGGGAGTTTTGAGTGTAAGAAATGCATGATGAAGCATTGGCAGTTTAAGGCTTAAAACCTGGGCTAGTTAGCATTCTGTTCTCTAGTGGTGGTCTATTTTTTCTTTTCTTTTTTTTTTTTAATCAATCATTTTGCTTAATCAAAAATTCAAATGAAACTGAGGATCCAAATCTGAAAGTCTCGCACCCATTGCATAGTACTTATATATGTAGTCCTGTTGACCTCAGTGGGACCAGACCTGTGAATAAGTGCTGCTCAACATGAATAAACGTTGCAGAATTGAACCCTTAATTAAGAGGCTGTAGGAAATCGGTAGGATAAATTGGAAGGTGGGTTGGTGAACGGTTGGAGAATGGTATAAGAAGAATGTCCTATTGCCTGGCTTGCAGAGAGATGTCACACATTCAGGGATTTGTTTTAGTTTTATAAAGGTATGAACTTTTTGGATGTCTTAATAGAACCAAAGCTTCAATTCTGAAGACCTTAGGATCACAGTGACTGAACAGCAGTGGCAGCTTATACTGTTGTCACCCACTTCATGCTTCTGGGAATGCTACCATTATAACTTCTGCTCTAACCTTTCCCAGCTCGGGCAGGTGAGAGTTTTCTCAGGACATGTCTTCACTAGCAACGTTAAAGTGTTGCCATGTAGTTGCAGCACCAGGGGTGGGAGACCTCTCTCCCAGTGCTATAAAAAACTCACCTCCACAAGGGGAGTAGCTACCAGTTCGAGGAACACGGCTCCCCACGCTGGTGCACTGTGTACACTGCCACTTTAGAGCGCTGAAACTTGCAGCGTTCGGGGATGTTTTTTCACACCCCTAAGCGAGAATGTTGCAGTGCTGTAAAGTGCCAGTGTAGACAAGCCCTTTGTGAAGTGTGGAGAACAGTAGGATGAGCAGTTTTTGCTTACACTTGAGGCTGTCTCTGGTTATTTGGGTTATTTTCAAGGATGGATCCCTTGGGGACTTCTATCTTGTGCAGGCTGAAGGTTTTAGGTATATTTGGTGACTGTGCCACTTCAATGCCACATGTGTATGGTGGTTGAGAGTTTGTAATTGTTCCTGCTGGTGAATGGGGATTTGGCAGATTTAGTGAGTGAATAGTTCTAAAAAATCTGCTCACATTCCTTTGACTAAGACTAGACATAAAAGGGCCATTGTCAGGCATAAGCCAGATGGTTGACGTTTGTTATTTGTTCAACTGGTCTTGTCTGCCACATGTTTTATCTCAGTGGCCTGGAGAAATTGTAAATGGTTGTGCTAACTATTGGCTGATGTTTAATGTATGGTGGTCACTAATAAGACTGCAGCCATCTGTAGTTTCTTTGTGGAAAAGGCACCTGATCTTGTCTGTATTAGTGAATATCAACTTTAATGTTACAGCTGCCCCTGTATTAGCTCTGTTTGCACCATCTGAATATGCAGGCCAGCATAACTTAGAGAAAAGGGGTTGGCTGTGTCTTTTGTGACTCATCTCAGGTGTGAGAAGCCTTGTCTCTAGGATAAATCCATTTGAATATGATGATCCACAACTGTGCAGGTTAAGTTGTTGAACAAAAATAAATATGGGATTCTGTTGCCAAGTTAGAAGAAGTTTTCCTTGCACAAGATTATAGCAGAACTCTGCATGATTGCCAGTCTAAAATTGGGATGCCCAAGAACTGGAATGTCAAAAGAGTGTTGCTGCCTAAGGTGGGCGTGAGGTGCATGTAAGGAGCTATCTAGGAGTTTATACAAATATGTGCCAATGCTATATTTAGGTCCAGACATTGCTACTTGTTTCACTTACATGAACACAGCAGTTAATTCACAAACTAATTTAACAATTTTAAAACGAAATATATTTTTGAGGTTATCAATACATTCCAGTTAGAATTAAAGCAGTCACACCTGTATGTTCTAGTGATTTTTCTTTCATTTGTTCTTACCTCTTAACTACCGTTTTCCTCTCCTGTTTTCTCTCTCCTTCTGTTTTTCTCTTGTTGCCTTTTCTCTCCTTCCTTCCCTTTTATTTCTCTTCTCTCCATTTTCAATTCCTCATTCCTGCAAGCTCCCTTCACAGATTACACTGCTTCTTTCCTTTCCATTCCTTCTGAGCTCTCTGTTCTGTCCTCCTTTTCCTCTGCCCTTTTCTATCTTTTTTCCTTTCCTCCACCTCAGGGATGAGCAACTAGTGGCTTAGGGACCACTCCTGGCCTGCCAGATCATTTTATTTGTCCTGCCCAAAGGTGGGGTCACAGCCTGAGAATAAATTTTTTTTTTTTTTTAAATTGAGCTGAGTCGCTGAGGGGCGTGTCTTTTAGTAAAGCTGCTGCTGCCTCAGACCACTTTTTGCTTCTCCATCGACACAGGCTCTGATTCAGCCCCATACCACACAGGTCCAGTTACTGCCTCCCCAGTGGCTGGTTGATTGGGATGTGGGAAACAGGTTCTGGCCAGGTCCCTCTTCCCCCCCACAAAGCAGAGGGTGAGGGTAGGGTTCACCTCCATCAACAGAGAGTAAGTAACCAGAACTAGGTGGCATGAGGTAGAGCCATAGTCTGTGACTGTGGGGATTGGAGTGAAACCCGGGATTGGGAGCAGGAGCCCATGGTCTGGTTTGCAGTTCCTGTCATTGGCCTATCCATCGATCAGTCATTCATGCTAGAGCAGGGTTCTGCCCCACTTGGCTCTGGTTACTGCTTTCCCAGTGGCTCCCCTCTTGTAACTGACCTGACTGTGTGTAGCCGGCTTTGATTTGCCATGCTGCTCATGGGGCCCTTTTGAACCGTTTTCGAATGGGCCAGGGTTAACATGCAGCCAGCTTTCACACTGGGGCCAAAGAAGGGATCCCATGTGAGGCTGTGGCCAAAGACAATGTCTCAACGCTGACAGCCACCCTCTGATCATATTTGATGGTGCTCTGAGGGCTCTGAACTTTGCTGATGAGACTGCCACACATTGGCTTGGCAAGCTCCGCGTTTGAGGAGAACATCATTGTCTGCCAGCTCCCACAATGTGATTGTGCCCAGCCCCCTTGTCTGCCATCTGGGGACAGTAACCAGAGCTGGGTAGCACAGTGGCAGAACTCCTTACCTGTTGGCATGAAAGAGAATGGCCAGGCCAAATTTGAGTGGCTTTGCAGCCCAGTGCATGAGCTCTTGTTCCCAGTTCCAAGCTCCACCTCATGTAGCAGACCCTGTGTGCATGGGGAAGCAGTGGAGAAAAAACATTAAGAATGATGTTTTTACTTTGTTATTTTCATTTATTAATTCCCTGGTCTTCAGTACATTGAAAAAAGGTTAGTGAAAGATTTGTGTGTAATTTTTTTGGGTGGGGTGGGGTTGTTTTTTTTTTTATTATTTTTTTATTTGAAGGATGTGCTATGAAGGGATTTTATATTTTAAGAACACTTTGGTTTTACACTGTTAATACACAGTTAATTTTATGTTCACAGGCGTATTGTAGCAAACGTTTATAAAATATGTAGGTTTTAATTAAAAAAAATTAAAAAAAAAGAGTATGGCCCGCCAAAGGGTTTTAGTGGATTTTGTGGCTCTCCGCTACCTTAAAGTTGCCCATCCTTGCCTTATTTTCTGCTCCATACTTTCCTTCCTCCTTTGCTTTGTGGCTTATTTCATCCCTGGCTTTGTGTTTGGTTCCAGCTTCCTGTGGTTCTCTGGTTTCCTCTCCTGCCTGATTACCAGAGTGTTGGGAGATCTTATTATGCTGCTCTCATATTGCTGGGACCACTTTGAAGTTCTCCAGCTTATTGTTCCTTAGGCTAACTGTGAGATAAACTGATTGGTACATGAGATTGGAAATAGGATATGAGAACTATTCCCCTGTTCTCAATAGATTGGTATCCAGGGTGACAATCTCTAAAGAGAAATCAGCTTAGTTAATTTGCCTTACTTTTCTGGAGTATCCCTGTGTAGGTAGGCTTTCAAAGAAGAGCTTTTCTTTAGTTGTAATTAATTAGAATCACGAAACAACTTTATCGTGTAAACCTTGTTATGATAAGTGTCAGTGATAAATCAGTAACCATAGTTACTTGTAACCATAACTAGAGATGATATATACAGTTATTATATAAAGTCTATAAACTGCAAACTCTTAATAGGTAGCTTGTTAGTGAATATACCAGAATCTTTTGTGCAGGCTTTTCAATGGAAATAGACAGTGTAGTGAATTCAGTATTCAACTGTGTAACTTTTAAAATTTGCCTTAAAAGTTCTATAAGTACACAGCAAAGGGTTTGTGTATCCACCCAGAAAGATCCTACAGTACTTAAACAATATCAATCACAGAAATTGCTGCATGCTTTTACAATTGAAGATGATGGCACTGCTTTATTTTCTTAGTAATACAATTTTGAAGTTAAATTATTTAAAAAGCAACGTATATTTCTGTGTGCAGTGCTTATTAAAAGTATGGTGAGTTTCAACTGCTGTTCTTAGGATTCCAGGTATTCATAAGTTTACTATTAAGTGCATAAATTGTTTCCCAAACAAGAAAATTATAAAGAGAAATTACAAAGCACAAACCCACTCTTCTTGGTTGCATCTCGTCAGTTCAAAAACATAATTTATCTATTTTTTATGTGCAAGAATATTTGTATAGACTCTTTCTTGCCTATAAATAATAATACAAAAGACTTTTGATGCATTTTTTTTCCTGTTTAGGATATTTTTGACAGCGACTGGTACACCTCTCAAAATCTTATTGGAGGAGCTGATATCATTGTGATTAAATACTCTGTAAATGACAAATCTTCATTTCAAGAAGTAAAGGACAGTTATGTTCCAATGATAAAAAGAGCATTAAATCATTGTTCAATTCCAGTCATAATTTCTGCTGTTGGTGCAAGAAAAAGTGGTATGTATTAAATCTCATATTATGAACAGCTGAAATATTATCTTGAAGTTAGATGTTGGGAAAATCCAATTAAGTCTGATTACATCTTCAGTCCAGTCATGATAAAAGTTTGTTTTCTTCAGAGTTTGTCACATTGACAAAAAGATGTGATGTGTTAAGGTATTGTAGATTGACACTGATTAATTTAGTATCAGTATTATGTATTTTAAGTTTTTGAATATAGACAATGCAAATTAATAATATGCTTTGAGCTCTGTCAAATACCACTCCTGCATGGCTCATCATCTGCAGGAATTGAACCAGGACCTCTGGATCTGGATTTGCTGTTGGAACTAAAGGTCTGTTAGCTTGGAGGAGGGACTAAGAACTACAGTGTGTTAGGGTGCGTGACACTGGGACAGAAGGGCTAACCCCTCTGACTACAAAGTGGAGAGAGATCAGGCCTGTACTCAAGATCATGTGGAGCCTCTAGACATGAGTTTTGATTAACTACATAAGTGTAGTGTGCTCTATATTCCAGAGCAGTGGTTCTCAACCTGGGCTGCATATGCAGCTCTCTGTTATGTGGGCCGCATCCACACAATATATATAATATCCATACATATCTCTCTCTCTCTCTTTAAATTATGACAGCAATATGATGCAGAGACAAGGTACCTTCTCCAGGGCAGAATGCCCCTCTCCTCCCCAGGGCCGGCCCCCTCCAGCATCCAGTCCCCCACTCAGGGACTGTCCCCGCATAAACCCAGCCCTTCACCTAGGGACTGCCCTCCAGAACTTCCCCCATCCAGGGACTATGCCCCAATATCTAGCCCCACATCCAGGGACTGCCACCGGTCCCCCAACGGAAAGTCTATCCCCCATGCACTCGCCGCACCCCCCTCCCTGCATCCCTAGCCCTTTGCACCCCCTCACAGCCCCCTCTTCCCCCATACCCGCTGGTCTCCTACCTCGTCAGGGAGCTCAGCTGTGCGGCCTGTGGGATAAGGGGGGTGCTGAGCACCCTGGTCGCCTGCCGATGCCTCTGGGCTGAATCCTGCGGCGGGGAGCTGACACCTCAGGGCCCGATCGTGTGCAGCCCCATTTTTGCACCCTCCCATCCTGCCCCAGTTATGGCCCTGAGGATGTCACATGGGCCGCAGCTGTGTGCTGATTGGGCCGCAGGTTGAGGATCACTGTTCCAAAGTTCCTATGTAGCAATACAAAAAGAATAAAAGCTAGTATAGCCTTTAAAAAGGAAAAAAAGACACATCAGATACCTGAATAATTTTAGTAAAATAATTTAACATTTCATATATACATAATACAGAATATTTCACGGTGATTAAAAATTGCAATCATGGTGTGTAAATTTCTCAAAATTCTAAAACTAAGCAGAATTAAATGTGGTCTGTACTTGGCTGGGAGACCTCCAGTGATCACACGTTACTGTGTTTGTAATGTGTGGTACTGTGTTTGGTCCTGCCTACACTAGGGAAATTTATTCTTTTTTTTTTTTTTTTTTTTTTTTAATTTGCTTGATGTTGATAGTTTGGTATTTTCATATTCTTTATTCTATACTTCTTT